TATATATATTATAATGAGAAACTAACATTAAATGATTTTAGTTTACAACAGTGAATACATAGAAATATGGAAATTGTCTCTTGTAAGTTATCAGCTCCAGATGGACCTTACACACTACATCACAATAACAGTAACTTCTTATAAGTTTGATTTGTGCAAAGTGCCAACATTTTCAGTACAAGGAAAAGAAGAACACTTTACATATCTCTGCAAAATGAACACGGAAGAATTATATGTTTGATAGAGTTAACTTGGCCAGGTCCATCATCTGGCAAAAATTGAAGAAAATAAAATTTAAAAACCCTCAAAGGGCAGACTTGATACACAGCTAGGTCTTTTTCAGTTTTATATGTTTCTATATATTTCAGAGTTTTCAGGTATGAGTTGTTTAAAATCTTCAAGATTTTTTATATTATATCTTTGAGAGGTACTTTTTCTATTTTTATTTAATTCAAATATTTTTATTCAAATAAAGCTTCAAATACAAATGCAAAACTTTAATTTTATTCTTTCAAACACAGATTTTTTTTAAAAGTGCATAAAAATTAACCACATATTATCTCCTCCAGTTGAATACTGATTAATATATTATAACAGTATTTTTGTGAGCCACTTTTTAATTAAAAATCCAGGGAATTGACCTGATATATATCAACTGATCAAACTACTATGTTGCAAACACAGTGTGGCAAATTTAAAATGGAACCTTCCATTTTCAAGAGGATTAAAAATTTCAATGAAGAAATGAAGCTAGTTGTGTATTTAAGATGCTAACTCAACTTCTTCAAGAAGATCTGAAGTATTTGGCTTGTTTTTTTTAAAAAAACTTCTTGATAAAGATATTGTAATTTTGGATAATGAATAAAAGATGATAGATATTATATGTGTGTTCGTCTACAGTTTGTACTCCAGTAGGACTTTCCCGTATGTTTACAGTAATGGGACAATTGCTTGTAAAGCCAACAGTAAGTATTGTTAATATTAAATTATTATCTAAAAGATGGTCAGTAGTCCCCAACCTTTTTGGTTCACAGCAGTAGCAGTGGACGGGGTGTGGGGCTGGGAAGAGGATGGTTTTATATGTGCAACCTAGCTCCTGGGCACAAAGGAAGCTTTGCATGCTTGCCCACCTCTTACTTATGTGGCCCAGTTTAGGCAACATACAAAGTGAAATTGCAGATATTACAGCAAAGTGTTTTTTTAAAAAAAATTCCTTCCTGTTTAGTTGGATTGTTTCAGCTTTGAATGAGTATTTTTAAAGATGGAAGCTTGAAACTTTACACAAATGATCTTATATATACACCCAGGTTTTTTTAAAGACTCTAGTTCTTTTTCTCTCTTATAATAAATTGTATGCAACCTCCAAATATTTTATCTGATATGTTATCTGTATATCATAGATTCTTGAAGACTTGGATGAGCAGATATATATTATTACTCTAGAAGAAGAAGCTATAATGAGAAAGTTAAATGGTAAATATGTTTAATACAGCCTGGCTTTTATATTATTGCATTTAGGTAGGATGAGAATTGTGTTCCAACATTTACAGAGGAAGCTAGTTTCAGAAATCCTGAACACCATAAAGTTTGGTATACATTTGGAGCCAGTTTGGCATGCTGATGAAGGTGCCGGCCTAAAAATTAGGAGAATATGAGTTCTAGTCCCACCTTAGCCATGAAAGCCCGCTGGGTGACCTTGGGCCTCCCTCCCTCCCTCTCTCCCTCTCTCCCTCTCTGCCCAACTCACCTCACTGTTCTTGTGAGGAAAATACGAGGAAGGTGTCTTGGATTATGTTGGCCATCTTGAGTTATTTATAAAGTAAAAAATGTGGGATAAAAAATATTCCAGGTAAATAAATAAATAAGAAAAAATATTTTCAGCATGCGTGTAATGACTGATTGTGGTCCAGGAGCATTGTAATATGTCAGTTCCTTTATAATTAAATATTACAATCAATTATAAACTAATATGAATTGAATAGCAAATTAACATGAAAAAAATTGGTTGTACAAAAATTATAAGTAATGCTAGTTATATGTTATCTTTTACTAGGACTTTTTGCAAGTCTTAGTGGAAAATAAAATGTAATATTGAATCATAACCAATTGTGAAAAGATTTACTCTGTAACTTGCTTAAATGCAGTCAAATCATTTGATTTAATTAGCTAAAAACAGAATTCTGCAAATGGTAAAAAATTATTAATTTTTCATGCATTTTGACATTTGATCCCCTGGTAAAGTTTAAAATTATTCTGTGGCAACTTTTGGAGGTGCTCTGGAAACCAAAGTCTATGCAGAATGATGCCATAGGGCATAATATCTTTTGTTTATATGTCCTGAGAATTAAAAAAAAAAATAAGATCAAACTGAAAACATATCACAGATGTTAAATCATACTTTGGCAGAAATTCAGATTTTCCTATAAATAAAGGATTGCAGTACCCCCTTGAGAAGAAGGAATGTTGGAAGTAATTTTAATAGTTTTCTAGCCGATAAATTAGAATCCAGTCTCACTCAGTATTGTGTTAATAGGAATCAAACTGCAGAATCTTGAAATACAATTAATTATATGTTTTGAAATTCTCACTTTTTAAACATAGTGTAAGGAATTAGGAAAGTACATACTTTTGAACTTCAAATTTCATATAATTTTATTAGCACAGGAAGTTTGGGGAAGAAAAATGATCCCTGCAGTGGTTAGTCTGCATAAATTGTTTTGTTATTAAAGAAATCGGAGAGAAAATGTGTTTCTTCTGTATTGTATTTCAATACCCACATCATTTGTGCACAAAAAGAATAAAGCTCAAACTTTCTTTATATTAAAAAGGAAAAGTTGCTTTTAGCTATTAGTTTTCCTGAATCCCAGGAGACGGGTGGAGCAGGATCAAAAATTCTTATTTGATCAAAGTTATTAGCTCTGAAGGTATTCTAACCTATGTAAGAAAGATGAAAGGTGTTGTTTTTATTGCACACTAGTAACAGTGTAATTTTGAACTAATTGGAGTTGAACTGCCAATCACCTACAGGGAATGCAAATAGATACTCCTACAATTTCCTTTGAGGTACTGAAATATTATGTTGGGACCGAAGAAAAAACAAAATAATACTGTTAAATTGACCTTAAATGAGCTGCTTTGTGGTTTTCTTGGAGAATCCCTTCTAATTTTTCATGACTAGTCTGAACAAGTTCTGTCTACCAGTTTGATTTATTGGCCAGACAATGCAGTCATTAAACTTTTGAGCTTGTTTGAAATAAAGTTGAGAGCCCATGGTGCTTTGAATAGCTTGCATTCAGTAGTTATGCTCCATCTTCCAGAGATGTGATTTGATTGCTCTAAAATGTTGCTTCATTCCTTGGAACTTTACCAGGATTAGTTCTATGCTGCTATCATTTTTTGGGATGTGTGTGTGTGTAAGGGTTATCATTTTTTTAAAAGTTAGGATGAATCTTAAGAATCTGATGCATTTCTCATATAAGTGGTGAATATGTAAATTTAAGGCAGAGGCTCACTATTGTGAGCATCCAGATATTTGATATATAAAAGAATTAATTTAGTTATGATAGTGAAAAGTGATTTTTGCTTAGGTTTGTTTGAGATTTCAAGGAAATCAGGGTTTTTAAAGCAAAATTCAATTAATTACAAAAAACACCGAGCCATACCTTCTGGTAATTTAGAAATGGCTACTAGAGGGTGTGGCCCAGTTCTTTTTTTTTTTTTTTTTAGTTAAATGAATTTTGCTTATTTGTCTCCACACATCAGAACCACTTATTTTATTTAGCCCATAATTTTGTTTCATTTAAGAAATTGTATTGTAATAGGAGTGAAAACTGTCATTAGAGCACAAGATTTAGGACATTTTTGTTATCTTAATCTATTTTTCCGCTTCTAGTTAGCAAAATGGTTTTGCACTACTGATGGAATATTTTAATAGAGGCATTTTTGTTTTGGCACAGGAGGATTTTCCGCAGTAGAATATAATACAGAACAACTTGAGCAGGAGTTGAATAATGTGAAGAGCATGAAAACAAAATTAGGTAATTGCCTCATATATTTTTTTTGGGGGGTGGGGGGGGGAGGTTTGGTGACTACTGTGCTTTAGCTTGAAGTAAAACCTCATTTATTTTTGAAAATATCAGAAAAAATATCTGCTGTTCTTACAAAAAACACTTAAGCATATATTTGGGGTGTGTGTGTCCTTTTAGTGTAATACTTAGACATTCCAGAATATCAGCCCTTCAGGTGGACCAGATCTAGAAACAGATTCCACAAGAAAACTAGAGCTTTGCTATATTAACATATCTTGCAAATCTGTGTCTCCTCTTCTTATACCTGAGGGAATCAAGTGTATTTTTTTCCTCTAATGGCCACTGGATTTCTTTGCCAAAGATGGTCTGGATTCCTTCTCCATTGTTCTTTACACCAGTATATTATTCTTATTTTGAGTACTGTTTCCTTATTTTTTTTAAATTGGCATCATTTCTAACAGTAATAAGGAAAAGTAAAGGAATTCCTGCATATTTTATTCCGCTAGTCATTTCTGACTATAGAGGGGTGTGCTCATCTCCGTTTGAAGGCCATTGAGCCAGTGCTGTCTGAAGACATGTGGTCGGCATGATGTCATGGAGAGCTGTTACCTTCCCACTGAAGTGATACCTATTTCTCTACTTGCATTTGTATGTTTTTGAGGCTTGAGTGGTGGCACCAGCAGCAGGTAGAGGCATGAGGGGATGGTGGAGGCAGGCGATCCCGACACCCCATGTGCGTGCTTGTTTGGCATGACCAAGGGCAAGCCAAGAGAGGATGGGATAGAATGAGCAGCGCGTTGGGATCGCCTCTCCTCCACCTGGGTCTGCTGCATACTTTTTGCCCAGAGAGAGACGAAGCTTTGCTTGCAAAAGGGATGCTTTGAAACGACCTAATCGCTTCTTTTCAAACCATCTCCTTTGCAAGCACATGAAGCTTTGAGTCTCTGTCATTTCTCTGTCCAGCCGAAAAGTGTTTGGTTGAGTGAAAGAGGAACAAAGGACCAAGCGAAAGCAGTGGGTGCCTTCGCCTTCTTTGCCCCCACTTCCCCACCTGGGCTTTGCTTCCCCCCACCTCCCTCGAATTCTTGACAGGCATCAGGAGTGGAATGGGGCAGGAAGGAGACCAAAGTAATTGGGAAATGAGGGCAATCCACAGTTGCTCATAGATTGATAAGCTCGAGTGGGAAGGGGTGAGTGAATTGTGGTGTCCTGCCCCACTGCTGGTGAGCCAACACCAGGGAATTCTTGACACTTGCCCAGAATGCTGGGGAGGGGAGTAAAAGGGGGCCACAACAAAGATTTGGGGTGTCGGGCGAGAGGGGCAGGTGGGGATAATCCATCCCAGCACTCACTGTTTTTTTTTTTTAAGGGGATGCTTCAGGAGAGAGAATAACTGCTCAATATACCGGTTGAATGTGTAGAATGTGTAAGTGGGGAGTGGAGCTTTTCCCGAGTCTTCTGTCGATGCTGCTGCACAAGCCTCCCACAAGCTTCCCGTGAGCCAGGCGGCCATGCAGCATGTCTGGATTGCCTGTCTTCTTTTCCCCCCACCTCTGCCTCCACGCTTGGAATTAACAGTGTTTGCACTGTGCCAAGGAGGCCGAGGCATGTTGAGAGCTTGGGCTCATTGCAGTTGCGGGCAAGCAGACAGTGGGGTGAAAAGGGCAGGGCCAGCAGTAGCTGTGCTCCCACTCCCGTTGGCCCCCGCGCTTGTCACCTCCTGCATTTAAAAAAAAAAAAGACCTCTCCCAAAATAACCCCAATAAAAACCAATAAAAATGTATTAAAAAAATAAAATAAAATAAGCCTAAGTGCTTATTTTCAAGCCCAAAAGAAAACAAGACCGGGTTTTATTTTTGGGGAAACACTGGTATTATTGAATTCATTTGATACTTATCTCGTGATTTGAGGTGACTCAGTTTTTAGCTGATTTTGCAAGGAAAAATTCTTATGAAAAGATAGATTAAAAAATAAATGCCGTTGGGATATTAGCTTTGTTTATACTGTCCATGGAGATTCTCAGTCATCTAGGTCATGGTTGTCCCCAGGGTGCTTTTTCAAGAGGCAACTGGACTTTCTGATTTTTCTTTGAAGACGTTTTGCTTCTCATCCATTTCATTCCCCAATATCCAGTCAGAGCTGAAAAAGCTTCTTGGATGAAAAGTGAAAACGTAAAAGAAAAACCAAAAACTCCAGTTGCCTCTTGAAAAAGCACCTTGGAGACTTTCTTCATACTGCCTTTCTGCTATTACTTACCTCCATTTGTAAATAAAATAATTTAAGTCAGATTAGAATAAATTCAATTTCTTGCTGAAGTATCCCATTTTTGATTCCAGTCCAGGGGACCAGATCTTTGAAAGCTGTTAAAGTATTCACATTTTTTAAAAAATGGTGGAACTTTACTAGTGGAACCCTATTCCACTAATAAGAACTTTATTTAGAAAAAGAACCTTACTCCCCTTTGGGGAGCAGATCCTTTCAGAATGATTTATTTAAGTGTTTTTCAATCTTGGCAACTTTAAGACATGTGATTTTCAACTCCCAGGATTTCCTAACCAGCATTGACTGTCTGGGGGATTTTGGGAGTCGAAATCCACACGTCTTAAAATCACCAAGGTTGAGAAACACGGCTTTACTACTTACGCTGGGGAGAGGGAAGACTGTAGCATGTAGAGGATCAGGTGCTTGCAGGATAGGATGTTTGAGCTGAAAGTACATAAGTAGGCTAATTTGCTTTTGAAGTTTTAGTAGTCCATCTCACAGAATGCCTGGACTGCTTTTGGTTGTTTGGCTAAGATTATGGCTACAGAGCTTCTAATTTTAAAAGGATTGTATGCAGTTGTCTCAAGCCACCATAACATTTTCTTCTGTTTAAAGAGCGACGGAAAAAGGCTTCTGCCTGGGAAAGGAACCTTGTGTATCCAGCTGTAATGATACTACTGCTAATTGAAACGGTAAGCTCTAATTTCTTTACATTGCTTAAGACCCACCTGGCCTCTTGAAGATAGTAATTTATTCCAGGCACGTGTCTGAATTGAGTCTCATTTAAAAAAAAAAAAGGAATTGCAGTTTGTCTCTTTTACGGTTTTTGTTAAATCTCAGAAGTGTTCAAGCCAATTGCACCAAAATGGAGCAAAAGGTTTTTGCACAAAACTGCACCCATGCTTGGATTTTTTGCTTCTTCTTTTTCAGGCAATCTCAGTGCTCTTAGTGGCTTGCAATATTCTGTGTCTCTTGGTGGATGAAACCGCAATGCCAAAGGGATCAAGGGTAAAGTCTTTTCCTTTTGCAATATCACTAATGGCAAGTTTGATCACACAATCTAGTTTGCCATGCATTTCCCCAAAGAAATTTAGTTTGGGTGAGGAGAAGATACAGATTTGCACCCTGAAAACCTTTAAAGGGACATGTGAATGCTATTTTGGTGTTGTGGTTAAACTTAGACTGGAAACCAGGAAACTGTGAGATCTAATCCATCTTTAGGGACAGAAGTCACTTGGGCCACTCTAAGCCATTCCCTCTCTCTCAGCCCTGGGAAACAGGCAGTGACAAAACATTCTGTCAATCTTTGCAAAGAAGATTGCATGGACTTGCCAGGCCGTTGCCAGTGTCAAGATTGATGAAAATGAACAAACACAACAAAAACAGAATATAATTAGTTACCTGTCCGTGGAGATTCTCAGCCATTCAGGTCATAGTTGCCCCAAAAGTGCTTTTTCAGGAGGCAACTGGACTTTCTGGTTTTTCTTTGAAGATGCTTTGCTTCTCATCCAAGAAGCTTCTTCAGAAAGTCCAGTTGCCTCTTGAAAAAGCACCTTTGGGACTTAATTAGCTACTAAAATCCTGCCAAAAAGCATTTGTGGCAGGATTCTAGTATCTAATTAGGCAACCGCTTTTAAAATTTCTCTAGTTCCCTCACAGGATTTTTAATCATCAAATTATTTGAATTTTTGTATGTGTTTCGAATCGCCCCAAAACAGTATTCTGATGTAGCTCCTAATCCTGAAGTTTGCAGTGATGATTATTGCCTCAATATTAGCTAATAAAAAAACATACAAATGATATACAATTGAATTGCCCGAGGTCATTCAGTCTTTAAAAAAATAAGTAAAAGAATGGCATCCTCTGTCTAATACCTTTTTTTTTTTTTTTAAATTCTTGCAGGGGCCTGGCATAGGAAGTGCCTCTCTGTCCACATTTGGTTTCGTGGGAGCAGCACTTGAGATCATTTTGATTTTGTATCCTTTCTTTCATGAGGCGTGCTTGTCTGTTAACAAGTATTCTGTCTAATTTTCTGGGAGGCTGCTAATTTACTAAGATGCCTGCTTAGTACAGAGAAAACAATAGGCCAGCTATTCCCAGGCACTCAAAGTGGATGTTCTTTCTCTCTTCCCCCTCCTCCTGCATACTTTGCCAGGCTTAAAAGACCTTTAGGACTCTGCAACTTGCATTCTTTAGGAATTCTTTTTTTTTCTTTAATTCTCACAGCTATCTTATGGTTTCCTCTGTTGTTGGCTTTTATAGCCTACGTATTTTTGGAGATTTTACCCCCAGGAAGGATGACACAACTATGACAAAGGTGGGTGAAAAAGCCCGTTTTCTTCTCCCTCTTTTCACATTTCATTCTACCAAAGCAAACCTGGTTCTATTAGAGAGTAATTGCATTCTGAACAGCAATTAGTTGTTTAAACGTTGATCGACAAACTTTTTGCTTAGTTGGGGTAGCTCAGAATCGGTTGGAAAAGGCCTGAAACTGCAGTGTTAGGTAGCCATAGAAAATCTGATGAGTCATTCTCCCACGCCCTTTTTTTCAGTGTGAGTGTGTGAGACACTCTCTTTTGGTTACTACAAATAATATCAATAAGATTCCTTTAATTTGAATGAATTGAGTGATTCTATTCAGCAATTCTCAGTCTGAGGCGGCTTTGACTTTCAGGAACTTACACAATTGCAACCAACAGTTGCATACATGTTAAAAAGAGAGATCTTAAAAGTAGCTTTTCATAAATAGGGGAACATTACAAACAAGATGAATAGGAGCCAATTTCTTTTCCTTTTATTTTTTTTTTCTGTTTAAAAAAGGCATTCGAAGTAGGGGGGAGGGTGAGATTTGCTTTAATCTTTCCAGGAATTCTCAGAAATGGGAAAGTAAACAACCGTACAGAAGGCCCTTGATTAAACCAGTTGAGCAGTGCCATTATGTTTGCTTAGCCCTTTTATAATACAGCATTTTGAACAAGAGAAATGGTAAGCCACATATCCTTCAGATTTTTCAACCTCTTTGTATTTAGAACTCCTCTTGAAGAGAGACCTCAGCATTTTCTGATTCTTCGAAAGAATAATGCTATATCAGCTCCTGTTTGTTTATTATAATTCTTTACATCCTTTAAGGCAACACATTCTTTTACTAACCTCAAGGTTGCACTTTGGAAAACAAGAGTAATTGGCAAATTACTGCCTAGCTATAGCAAGGATCTGCCTCACTTCCTTATTCTCCATCATGATATTAATATAATGTTCCTTGTATCAGCACCTGCACGAACTCAAATTTGGGCCAGGTAAGGGCAGCTGTACATTAAGTTTTGAACACTAGAGCCCTAAGGTTCAATCGTTATCTGTGAACATTATTAATTTACACTTGCCTGTTTAGTTTTGAACATGCAAGTGAATGGTTTCTGGAGTGATGTTTGTGTGTTAGATGTGCTTGCAGGCAGGAAGTATCTTGTAGCTTGATTTCAGTGCCTTGCTTGGCGTATTTTAGCTTGTATCCCTTGATTTTCATTTGCTCAGAATTTATTTTGAATCTGCTCAAACATTTTAAAGGCAACCCTTAGATCTTGCACGATAACCAATAAGCAATTTGAGGAATATATATTAATGTAAGTAGCAACATTTCAGTTCAATTTCTAAAGATTTAGAAATTGCCTGTCTGCAGAATGAATGTAGACAGCTTATACTTAAAATAGCAAAATAATTTTTAAAAATCCTGTTAAGTGTTCTGACAACCTACACTACAACCAATCTATCCAGGGCACCACAAATACCCCAAGACCTGGGAGAATAGCTAGGTTTTTTTATTTTTTTAAAAAAAAACACCTTTGAAACTTCATCAGGGTTGGAGCTAAGTGGCTGCTGTCTGAAAGAACATAATTCCAGAAGGCAAGTGCTATGATAGAGAAGGCAAACTTCTCGGATCTTTATAGATCTTGATGTTTAGTCAAACGTATCCAGAAGGTGCCTTCTGCCAGCTCTTCTCTCATGGGCAGAAATCATGGAGATGAGGAGATCTCTCAAGCTACCTGACCCTATGCCACCTAGGGCTTTATAGCTGATACCCTGATACTTATTACCAAACTCATGAAGCAGTCAACTCATGTCACATGGGTAGATCAAGGCATGCCCATCATTTTTTATGCTGCTGCAATCTCCAAGGTCTTTACAGGCAGATCCATATAGATTGAACATTATAATAATCCAATTATGAGGTGACTAGGACGTAAGCAACCATCTAAAGCGTTTCTCCGTTGGGAAATAGATAGAACTGGTGCCCCATACAAAGGTGTGAAAATACTTTCCTGGTCACAACTGGCACTGGCTCTTTCACTGTAAGTCCAATATTATCTCATCTGTCTCATCCCACTGGGGTTGGCTCACCCCACCTGTGATAGCAGAGGAGGCCTGCAGTGGAAACCATCAGCCAGGGAATTCTGGCTGGCAGGGTCCAGGAAAAGGGCCTTCTCTGCTGTTGCACCTGCGCTCTGGAACATTTCCCCCCCCCCATGTCCACAACAACCCTCTTGACCTTTCATAAGAACCTAAACACCTGGCTCTGCCAGTGGGCTTGGGGCTCCAAAGGAGGGGCTTCATGTTGAAGATGATTGATAGATTAATAACAAATCCCACCTCCCTCGTGCTAACCCCACTCTCTCCTTCCCCATGATTTAGGTATTGTATATATATATTCGGCAGAATCTCATCTGCCATCATCAGGCTTCTGTATAGTGTTCATCTGTGAGTCAGGCTTTTACAGTGGTTTCAGATTTGAATTTGGGGCAACCTATTGCTGTGCCAGAATGGTTTTTTCTTCATCCTGATTGGTTGAGAGTCTTGGTCTGTGTTTATTGGTCTTGGAGTTTGCTGTGTTCTGCAATAAACACAGACCAAGACTCTCAACCAATCAGGATGAAGAAAAAACCATTCTGGCACAGCAATAGGTTGCCCCAAATTCAAATCTGAAACCACTGTAAAAGCCTGACTCACAGATGAACACTATACAGAAGCCTGATGATGGCAGATGAGATTCTGCCGAAACGTCACTACAACTTTAAAAGCACAACTACTATGACGTGGGAAAATACCCGAACAAAGCTGAATGCCATACCCGCGAAAACTTAAGAAAACATTATATATATATACAGCAGCAGAATAATCAGAGAAGCCATAGAGATAGAAAAACGCCCACACAGCATGAATAAAAGAGATGACACCTCCCGCTTACCAGCCATTTGGAAACCCGCCCTCATGAACAGACGAGTACCCAACATGATAAATGACACCAGATCCACACCCATGAGGGCCACACAAGATGCCACCACCACACTTCCACGTAAAAATCAAACTCACACCCACACAGAAGATGAGACACGACCACAGACCAGAAGCCGCACTGCAGCTGCATCACTACCCACTTCAAACTCCTCTGAACCATACATGAAGCGAACTGACCCCCACCATGAAGATGTGGCACGACCACGAACTCGAAGCCAAACGAACACAGACCCAGACCCCAAACTCAAAGCCATATTAAAAACCCAAAATGCTACATCACAGCCACCCGCTCAGGACATCACATCAGAAAACTCAAGAAATTACACCTCAAGAACTCAAGAAGTCACAACACAGCAAATGACCCAGGATATCACAGCACAAGACCAAGGATACCACAGCAATAAATCTCACAAGGTCATCACACAACCCATTACCCAAGCTGTTACTACACAGGAGGCTAATGGAAAAGAGATCAAAACACAAACGACCCAGGAGATTACAACGCAAGACCCAGGATACCACAACAAAAGAACTCACAAGCCCATCACACAACCCATTACCCAAGCCGTTAAAACACAAGAGGCTAACGACCCAGGAGATGACAGCACAAGATCCAGGATATCTCTACAACAAAAGGCCATTACACAGCCCATTATACCAACATCAACTCCATCAACCAATCAAGAGGCTGCAGCACAGCCAACCAGCCCAGCACACCATCCCCCACCACTTGTATATATAGAGAGATGGCAGCTCCGGTCACGCACTGCTTGCACTGGCACTAAGCCGAAAGCACCAGCCTGAAGATGGCGAGTGGGACCTCGCCGAAACGTTGCCTAGATACTTTGAATCTTACGCGGGAGAAAACCCGAATAACCAAAGATCCATATATATATATATATATATATATTTGTAGTATTTTATTTAGATAATTTTATCTTTTAATATTGTAAGCCACCCAGAGTTACCTTGTAGTAAGTTGAGCAGCCAATAAATTTGATAAATAAAATAACATCAAAAGTTATCCTGTTGCGAATTTTTAGAAAAATTGATATACCTAGGTTTACAATATTACTAGTAGAATGCTGCATAAGCCTGAGAATGGTGGGCAGAATGAGAAGTATTACTTTACATGCTCCAGTTAAACTTTGCAATTGTTATTTGGCAATTAGGAACTTCATTTGTTTTAACTGAAATAATATCTTTTTTTGTCTCAACAGATAATTGGGAATTGTGTATCTATCTTAGTCCTCAGTTCAGCATTGCCAGTTATGTCAAGAACACTGGGTGAGTCTTTTCACAGAATCTTAAACAAATTTAGACACTCCTTTTAAAGAAAGTTCAGCTATACTTTTAGAAAACAGAATACTAATAATGAAGAGTGTACTTAATTATGCAATTATGTTGTAGTTTCTAAAAAAAAGGTTTCAAACTCAGTAATTTAAGTATATGAATCTGTCACCATGGAATTACAGATATATGGACAGTGAAGTTTAAGTTTTCTGATCTAGGTCTTGATAAGTCTGTTGAACTAATGGCAAGTTAGTTTGGCCTTGTGGTTAGGGTATTAAAATATGAGTGGATAAGCCTGAATGTTAGTTCTGATTCGTGGAACACGATGCCCAAATGGTTAAGCTAGGTTTGACACCCAAATGCCATATTACAGGATGAGCTCCTCTTATTCACCCCTGCTCCTGCCAACTTAGTAGTTTAAATGCAGGCAAATGCGAGTAGATAAACAGGTACCACTTTGGCAGGAAGGTTACTGTGTTCCGAGGTTTCATGTTGGCCACATGATGACGGAAACCTCTCAGACAACACAGGCTTCCTCGGCTGAGAATCAGAGAGGAGCACTGCCTCCTTGAGTGGGTCACACAATCTGACAGAGGTAATTTTCAAAACCTTTTAGTTCTCTCTTAGGCATGGAAGTCATTTGTGTATGACTTCAGGCCAGCGGAGAATAAGCATTATTGTTACATCTGAATTATGGGTTTTTTTTCCTGTCAAGGTTTTATGAAAGTTGTTATCTCGTTAAATGTTAGCTATATTGCTGTCTCCCTTGAAATCCTACAGATTAATGGAAGTTAAGTTTTTAGTAAAATTTGTTTTACATTATTTTTTTGTGCTGAACAAAATATCAACAATAAAGTAGGAAGTAAAAGCAGAAGAAAACAGCAATTGGAAAATAGCGAAGTTTTTGTGCTATAGTTGGAACTAGCAGACAAGAGAAGACAAAAATTTCATTTCTATACCCCCTAATCCACCATAGAGAAAAAACATCTGAGATGGATTTAGTCTACTTCTGGAAAGTTCTTTGCTTCTGGAGCTCTCAGCTATTCCTTCTTTACTTCTTTCTTTTTAATCGTTTTTGCATTCTTCTCTTCATTGTTTTACATCTTTGGCCACTGGATGAAACAGAAGGAAATCTTGCCTTACATTGATGTCCATTTCTCAAATATTACCCTTTTTGCAAGTAAACTTCAAACCCAGGCTGATATCCAATACATTAAAATACTTAGTCTTGTTGCTGATTTCGGTCCAATTTGGACTAACCATTCCAAGAGCGATCAGATTTTTATCTCAAGAGAACCAAGGTCTGGGCTGATTAGTTATCTCCTCACATACCCCCAGCAAGCCTCTGTTGGCTATTGTTGCCAGGTGAATAAAAATTTACATAGCTACAGCTGCAAAGCCTGTACTTTGCTGCTCTGATAGCAGCATAGAAATCACAGTTGCCTTTTTACAAATGCTTATTGGATGTCATGCACATGGTGGCATCTTGGTCCTCAGTCTCTTCCTTGGTGAGGTACTAAAAAGCTTAACATGCGAGCCCCACTTCACCTTTGTTTTCCAGATGCGTCTTTAAGCAAAATAGTGCCTTCTTCATACGTCTGTTCCCACCCTATTGGGAACTGCTGCGATAAGCGCTGGCTAAAGATATTCTGTGTGTATTGTAGGAAAAGAAACATTGGACTTACTGTGAAATGAGTGCCTGAATATTCCCTGTCTTAGCAAAGAAGAATATTTTTTTTTTGTTTTTGGACAGAGAATCATCTCTATAGTGTCTTTCATATCTGCATCTCTTCTCAGTCCTTGAACTAGTGGAAAGGCTGCTCTCTTGCGCCACCTAGGGATTGCAAAAGAAAATTATCGGTCCTGCCTGTCAGAGGAATGTAAAGAGCAATTTCTGACCCTTCCTTCCTTCCTTCCTTCCTTCCTTCCTACCTTCCTCCCTCCCT